TATATATGTGTGTGTGTGTGTGTGTGTGTGTGTGTGTATGATATGATAATATTGTGTGTGGATTATTTAAAATTTGAGAGAGTCCTCCTGTGTGTACTAACCTTGAAGTCAACCTGCCCAGTGTGGTATTGACACACCATGCTTGATGTTGTTGTATTATGTTTTGTGCAAGAGGACTACAGGACTCAAAGGTGTGGTTTGCAGTTCCGTGTTGTTGCTGTTCTTTGCAATAATGTTACATCTTTGAGATGTTAAATTGTGACACAGAACCAGCTACTTAATACCAATCAGGATAAAAGTGAAGGTTGTCGGTGGTGGAGCCAAAATAAGTTTGTCTTACTTTTGAGTTGAGATCTCTGTGGTAAATATTCTTGTAGTGCAGGTAGATCATTCCTCTGCTAATATCACAGGCAAGGTCGACCTTCTCTTTCCAGCACAGGGGAACATCTTTCCTCGCCAGGAGCTCCTCAAGGCAGCCACCATTCACATGCTAATAGAGGCGAGAAATGCAGTTACATGAGTACACTGAACAAAACCAATACTGAAAGTTGTAACACTTGGAGTTACATTGGGTTACTTTTATTTTTTGGAGCACACCACTATTGATTCTGCTCAAAGGTCTAGATTAGACTTTCTCTGTGTGCACAAAAGGCTAATTTCTCTCAAATGTACTTTTTTATATGCACCTTTATTTATCCATTGAGGCACTGGCTGTAGATAGTAGAGTAAAACAATCTAAAAACTGAAGTGAAATATTGTGAACAAATCTGCCTAAACTTGTTCGAGATAGTCTCCTTTGCCGAGGTAATCCATCCAACTCCAAGCTGTGGTGTTTTAAGATGCTAAATTGTGACTTTGATTGTCTACAATTGGCCGCTCAAAATTGTCCATTTTTACCGAATTGCTAGGATTGAGGTTAGGGGGGCGCTATTTTTGAGTACCGGGTGGCATCATAAAACCAATCATGATCTAAGAGGGTGATCATTTTTGTTATTGCATTGGCAGTCTGCAATTACAGGCCATTGTTCAATATGCAGTTTGACAGTATTGTTTGTGTTGATCAAACCAATGGGCAGCCTCAGGCCTGTGTTGTCATGCCTGAGGAAAATGGTGGTCACACCAGATAGAGACAGGTTTTAACCAAATCACCCCCAGTATAATATGACTGCATAGACATGTACAACTTGGATCCTGCATCTGTTTGAGACATATTAATGTGTTCCTTTTATTTTTTGGAGCACACCACTATTGTTTCTGCTCAAAGGTCTAGGTTAGACTTTCTCTGTGTGCACAAAAGGCTAATTTCTCTCAAATGTACTTTTTTATATGCACCTTTATTTATCCATTGAGGCACTGGCTGTAGATAGTAGAGTAAAACAATCTAAAAACTGAAGTGAAATATTGTGAACAAATCTGCCTAAACTTGTTCGAGATAGTCTCCTTTGCCGAGGTAATCCATCCAACTCCAAGCTGTGGTGTTTTAAGATGCTAAATTGTGACTTTGATTGTCTACAATTGGCCGCTCAAAATTGTTCATTTTTACTGAATTGCTAGGATTGGGGTTAGGGGGGCGCTATTTTTGAGTATCGGGTGGCATCATAAAACCAATCATGATCTAGGAGGGTGATCATTTTTGTTATTGCATTGGCAGTCTGCAATTAGAGGCCATTGTTCAATATGCAGTTTGACAGTATTGTTTGTGTTGATCAAACCAATGGGCAGCCTCAGGCCTGTGTTGTCATGCCTGAGGAAAATGGTGGTCACACCAGATAGAGACAGGTTTTAACCAAATCACCCCCAGTATAATATGACTGCATAGACATGTACAACTTGGATCCTGCATCTGTTTGAGACATATTAATGGGGTAAGTCTTTCATAATAAAGGGGAAGTCAACTCATTTTCTCAGTGGGTGCTTGTTTTGCCACTTGCTGTCGACTGAAAATGACATCACAGTTGCTTAGGTCGACAGCACCCGTACACTATACAGTATATTTGGGTCGAACCTGCATCATCCCTCACCTTAAGAACAAACCAGTTAGCGTTCAGTTAATACACAGGCACAAATAATAGTCAAGACCCGTTCCTCCTCAAAAAGGCTTGAAGCTCCCCTCTCGCCCGTTGACATACAGGAAGCAAGCCGAGGATCCAGTTTTGATGCCCACGGCTCGGTGCCTCTCACTGCCGGCACCCTATAATATATATAGTGTTGATGGTGCACCTCTCATGAGGATTGATTCTGGAGACCAAGCCATGCATCATGGGGAGCTTGAATACATCGAGCTGGAACCTCTCATACTATGTCAGGGTTCTTTTCTGGAGCTGACCAGAACCACCTTCTGCAGGTCTATCTTTGGTTACAATCCAAGTGGCTGTTCCTGGCCACCAGGCTCTTGCCATCAAATCCCACCCCCAAACCAAACAAGAAAGCAAATAAAAGGTTTGACTCACCTCTAAAATTGGATAGAGTTTGTCTTCTTTAACACATATTCCCAGATATCTAGAACAAAAGACAATATGCATGTCATTGATTTTCTCTGCTTATAAAGCGTCTTGAAGTCGTATGTTAGTAAAAATAAGCAGGGGTGCAACCAAGGATTTGGGGCCCACTCATTCCATGATGCAAATTCAAAATACAGTGGAACCTTGAGTTACCAATTGCCCTTTTTAATGTACATTTCAAGTGACATATGAAAATGTCGGTTGAAAAAGAGAGAAAGAGAGGGAGACAGAGAGAGAGAGAGAGAGAGAGAGAGAGAGAGAGAGAGAGAGAGAGAGAGAGAGAGAGAGAGAGAAAAGAGAGAAAAGAAAAAGTGGACATCATTAACCCTGTGCATTAAACAGTCTTTCTGAAAGACTCCGACTTGCACTTCGGTGCCCTCAGTCTGTGACTAAAAGTGCTGCCATTGATCACCTCTCAGGGCATTAAGAGGGTGGGCAGAGCTGGCCTTGATAAATGTGATCTGAGAACGCATCCTTTCTTGGTCACCTATACAACTGTGGCAACCACAGAGCCCCACAGAGCTGAATCAGCCTGTTCTCATCAGCTGCACACGTATCCCTCTCCCCAGCAGACTACTGCGAAAAAAAACGGGCACTGGTAGCTACAATGTGACAGACAGTCCAAAGCAAAGCTGAGCCGATGTTAAATGACTTTCGCCTCCTTTAAAATATCAAGATGGCTTTGGCCTTTGCCGGACTCTTCCAATCCAGCCTTTCATCAAGCTGCAGACTAATCAATGATTTTCTCCATGTTATTGTGGAAAAATACTCTTATTCAATGGAGGAGCAAAAATTGTTTTTTTTTTTAATGTTTTATTTCTTTTTGATATGATATTGTATGATAGTTATTTTTAACCGCATGCCATTCTCTTTCTGGCAGTGCACATCCTGTGCCTGCCAAACGTTCTTGTTCCAATGGCGAGCATACTGTGCCTGCCAACCGTCCCTGGTCCGGCAGCACATGTCCTGTGGCCGCTGCTGGGTGATTTTGGGACGTCTGGCATCCGTCCCCTGTAGGAGGAGTAATTTCATGATTCTGTTTTTGTCAAGATTTCATTTGGTTTTGTGTCATAGTTTTGTTTCCTCATAAGCTTTTGTCTTCCTCGTTTGGTTTTGTTTCCCTCTGCTCTTGTCATCCGAGTCCCTTGTGTCAACCAATCAGCTCCCTCAACCCTTTGTGTCTTGTCCAGGTGTTCCTTGTTGTCCCGTCAGTTTACTTGTATTTAGTTCCCTGGGTTCTGTCAGTCTTGGTCGGATCGTTGTATCGGTGTCACATTGTTTTGTGCTTCTGTTATAGGTTTTTGTTTGTTTGTTACTTTAGTTTCTTGTGGTTTTCAGGACTTCATTTGTGATTTTGAATGAGTTTTTCCAGTGTACGCCTGCAAGTGTTTTTTTTGTTAATACATTTTGTTCTGTACTCCCTGGTTCTCCTGCCTCCCGATTGTTTTGGCTCCACGACCATCACGTAACATGACAAAATAAATCATCTGAAGATTAGTGTTTTTGGCGTTACTCGGCTCGAACATAATAGGCAAGGACAGTAAGTTATGAACTTCAAGACATTCATCCATCCATTTTCAACACCGCTTTTCCTGAACAGTGTCATAGGGAGGTGCTGGAGCCTATCTCAGCTGACTTCGGGCAGAAGGCAGACTACACCCCGAACTGATCGCCAGTCAGTCGCATGGCTACTTCAAGACAGGCTTGAAAATAAAAAGATCCACATCAGGCAAAGGTTTTCTTTGTTTTATTCAAAGCTAATATTGTTGTAGTCGAAGACGAGATCGTCTTGAAGACACTGAAAACAAACACGAGTGCATGTCAATTAAAGGGGACAAATTAAACAGGTTGAGCAGACAATTGGCAGCCTGCCTACATGCCTACATTTTTTGACCATCACGTAACATGACAAAATAAATCATCTGAAGATTAGTGTTTTTGGCGTTACTCGGCTCGAACATAATAGGCAAGGACAGTAAGTTATGAACTTCAAGACATTCATCCATCCATTTTCAACACCGCTTTTCCTGAGCAGTGTCATAGGGAGGTGCTGGAGCCTATCTCAGCTGACTTCGGGCAGAAGGCAGACTACACCCCGAACTGATCGCCAGTCAGTCGCATGGCTACTTCAAGACAGGCTTGAAAATAAAAAGATCCACATCAGGCAAAGGTTTTCTTTGTTTTATTCAAAGCTAATATTGTTGTAGTCGAAGACGAGATCGTCTTGAAGACACTGAAAACAAACACGAGTGCATGTCAATTAAAGGGGACAAATTAAACAGGTTGAGCAGACAATTGGCAGCCTGCCTACATGCCTACATTTTTTGCTGCACCGACACCAAATAACCCCCCCCCCCAAAAAAAACCACACCTGACAGTCGAGACTTCTTATAGTCAGGGTATAGAGAACATTTCTCACAAGTCACACAGCTTGTCTACAAGTGCAGACACCCGGTGAGGTTTATTTTTACTTCGTCAGATCAAGTGACAAGTAAGAAGTTACTTGTTTTGAGGAGTCTGAACAAAAACAATGGGGGCATATGTTCTGTGACCGACAAAATATTTTTGGATAAATTAGCACCAAAACTAAGCAGGGCATACATGGGCGAACAAGCATTCACACTCACAATCACACCTAGGGACAATATAGAGTGTTCTTTTAACCTGCTATGTACTGTATGTTTTTGTAAAGTGGGAGGAAACCGGAGTACCCAGAGAAAACCCACACAGCCACAGGGAGAACATGCAAACTCCACACAGGAAGGCCGGAGCCGTAATAGAACCCTGCACCTCTTTACTGTAAGGCGGACATGCTAACCAGTCGACCACCGTGCCGCTGTATAAATTGTGATTAGGTGAACTTCAGAGCAATGAACGATCGAGTAGAATGCTATAAATTCCCCTGAAGTTTCTCTCTGACTAGGTTTCTATGATGAAAACTAAGAAAACATGAGTACTGTACACAAAACCCTATTACATGATGTGCACCCCTGCTAAAGCACTGCATAGTATTCGTGGTGAATGTGCCAAAGTGAGATGGAAAAGGGGACAACTGTTACCTGACAATATTTGGATGAGAGAGTTTCTGAAGAAGGCTGATTTCCCGTACAATGCTGTCTTGGTCCACGTCATTTTTGTATATCTTCACAACCATCACCTTGCGGCTATTAGTGTGTATCACCTGAAAAAAGTTACAGCTTCTGCAGTAGAGTACTGATGGTGCAAGGGCCGAAAAAAGCGGTCTCGCATGGCAGGTTGCGGGTCAAAATGTGGATTTTACACCTCATATAAACAACATTGAAAAGTAAAACTGCGAAGTAGGCACAAGGCGCTTATGTCACAGGAAGTCGGCATGGCTCTGCACTTATGTCCTGTGGTCCTGCATGCTCACAAACTGTTTCTCTGCTGACTGCACCCTTTTCTTTTTGCCTTGACGATGAACTGTGCGGTTGCACCATACTCTTGGCTCCTGCATGCGGGGTCTGGTCAGTGCCACATTTATAGTGGAGCCATATTATGACACCACGTCTGGGAATCTAACATATTGACAAAAAAAGTCATTTTGTCTGAGCTCTGCATTAATTATGACGACCAATGAATTTGTGGCTTGTTTATTACCAAGATGGCAACTACCGTATATGCCGGTGTGCTTCTAAGTTTTGCTCAGTGTAGGCCCTACGAGTGTAGTACAGTAATCCCTCAACACTTCGCACTTCATGTTTTGGGGCTTCACTGCTTCGTGGATTTGTCCCAATAAATATTTTTTTTAAATTTCATTATCTATCTATCTATCTATCTATCTATCTAGATAGATAGATAGATAGATAGATAGATAGATAGATAGATAGATAGATAGATAGATAGATAGATAGATAGATAGATAGATATAAATGAAAAAAATACAGCCAGATCGGCAACCATATTGCGGAAAGACATTTTGGTTCATGTTGATGCGTGAGAGTGAGAAGTTTTCCCTGCATGCAGAACAAAGAGATGAGGTGACTCAGAGGCTCTGTCCATATCTGTACTGTACTGTACATGCCACAGTCACTCATACAAGGTTAGTGATTGGTTCCCGGTGCAATGTCGACCAATGAGAGCACAAGTGGATTTATTGAGCTGATTGGCTATGCATCATCACAGCCTCACCCAGTACCTACCCTTGTTGTGTCTCTCAAGTCTCGTCTGTGCTGTTGACTGTATCTTTGTGTTGTGTGCGTGATAACTTTTATTGTTGTTGTTTAAGCAATACATTTTTTTGATTAGTTAAGGTACGCTCCAACCTCCTTGTCGCTGCTGTTGAAGCAACATGTCCTGGGTGTGCGGGAGCATATAAGCCTGCTCGGAGAGGGCACCATAAAGAGGGACACATTATTTCAATGACTCCAAGGTGTTGGTTCACAGCCTTGACCGGGTCGGGGAGCCTTATTTTGAAGGTTTCCCGACATCATTGATCAACAAAAATGCTCCTCAAAGAAAAAAAGTTATTTCGAGCCTTGTAATGGAGAACTGTCGACAATAGCTGCAGTTGTTGAAACAACAATGAAAAATTGGCTCTTTTGAGTTACCTATGACGAGTAAGCATTTAGAGTGCATGCTTTGCTATGTTTTTCTTATATCACTGTCCGATCCTTCTGGTTCATTTCAGCATTTAAATCATTTTAAAATGGAAATAAGCTTTCTTGGTCTCAATCGCCATTACATAATATCTCAGCTATGGATGGTATTGTCCCCCCCACAGTTTCTAAAGCACGTGGGCCAATCATGGAATGGTAAAAATGTCCCAATTAATGGCTGGAACAAAGCATGCTTTGATGGTGGCTCACATGTAGGCTGGTACACAGCAAAAAGTGGGCAATGACACTTGAATGCATACCTTATAGACCTTTGAGAAAAAGCCACTCCCAATTAGCTCAGTGGTGAAGTTTTCCCAGAACTCCAGTTTGCGCACGGCGGTGCGGAGTTTCTGCCAACGGTCCACATGATAGTACTTGTCTGAAGACTCCCCACACAGGGTCGGACTGGTGGGCTCTGATACGTCAACATCACACATGCTGGAGATGCTCGCTGAGAGAGACAAAACATTTTTGACTTCAAAAAAATGTGACTATGCTATCATGATCTGTGTACGTGTGTGTGTGTGTGTGTGTGTGTGTGTGTGTGTGTGTGTGTGTGTGTGTGTGTGTGTGTGTGTGTGTGTGTGTGTCTCTCTCTCTCTCTCTCTCTCTCTCTCTCTCTCTCTCACTGTATGGATACTACTTTACATGGTTAAGACAAAAAACACTTCCACTTTGAGATTTTAACAATTTTTTATTCTTCTACCCACTGTATTGTTTTACTCACTCTCTAGTTAAAAGTGATCTGGTGCAAATGGCCCAAACAAAGATTTTATTGTTAAATATTCATGTTAAAGGTGCCACACAATCTCTCGAGACGAACTACAGGCAGCAGTGTCAAGCGAGCCCCTCGTCTTCTTATTCTGCAAACATCCATCTAAATTGCAGGGAAATACAAAACAGCCTTGAGCTTCTTTACGGCTGCAACAGATTGTATACTTTTTGAAGGTTTTTCTTTCATAGTGTGTCAGTCCAGACACATTAAGAACATGTAGGTGTTAAAGATTAAGAACTGTCTCACAATTTCTATTCTAGTTCATAGCAAAGATGTTTATTGGGGTTGAGGTCAAGGCTCTCCTTGCTGCAACAGAAAATGGCCTTCATCTGTTAAATGCGTCAAGATGTATTTAGTGGTCCAGCTCAAACCGATGTCAAAATCTTATAATTATATTGTATATTCAGATAATACCGGTATATTTTGGATGTGGATAGACCGTGTTGGTCAGGCTTGGAAAAAAGATACAACCTCACGAGTGCCATAGAAAAGGGCAAATTGCGCATTTCAATAACTCAGAGCACACTTAGATGAAAGAGAGGCTCATAAAAGGGACCGTCGTCCCACACAGTAGACTCCAGAGATGAGGAAAATCACATTACGCTATTCAGTCTGAAACAAAGACAGTGAATAATGTGTGGGCAAAAAATAGAGGCCTAATGGATAACAGGATCAGTTAGTGGAGACAAACCATCCTCGATGTTGATGTCATCTCATTTTAGCTCAGGGCTGAATTGAATGGATAAATCTTGATGTAAATGTGCACTTCTCACCTCTCAGTTATATAAAATGGAATCACAAAAGCAGTCTTTAAATTTAAATCAAGCTCCATCAATATAAAAAGCATGATATTAAACAAATTGATGTCCTCGTTGTGGGATTAATCAAGGCTGTCTTATCATATCTTTTCATTTAAAGCCAAGCTTCCAAAAACAATGCTAGAACAACATGGTGAATACATTTGATGTACTTTTATTGAAAACAAACAAACAAAAAAACACATATTCTGAGCCAGAGAGCAAAACTGGAAACGCATGGTGGTAGACAAATGCAATGTATCCCATTATGTCGTCAATCAGTTTCCAAAAATCCATCAATCAACCCATTTTATGATCTGCTTATCCTCACAAGGGTTCCGGGCCGTGCTGGAGCCTATCGTAGCTGTCTTCGGGCAGTAGATGGGGTACACGCTGAACTGGTTGCCAGCCAATCGCAGGTTTGCAATCATAAATTCAACAATTGTTTTATTATTTGACCGAATTGGTTTCCTCATATGTACACACAGGCTGGTCACAAACCAATCGCAGGTTTGCAATCATAAATTCAACAATTATTTTATTGTTTGACTGATTTGGTTTCCTCATATGTACACACAGGCTGGTCACAACATCGTAGGTAAACGTAACGCGGGCACAACCTAATGACATCCAATTTGTAAATACAATTTAACATTATCTGCTAAATTTGTCACCAGGAATAAAATATTCAAAAATTTTTCTTCCTATTTTATGTCCGTCCATCTATCTGCCTGTTCGTCTGTCCATTCGTCCGTCCGTCGATTTCTTTGTTTGTTGTCATTTAAATTTTAAAACGGATTTGGTATTGAGGTACAGTGATCCCTCACTTATCGCGGTTAATGGGGACCGAGACCACCGAGAATATTTGAACAAGCTCTCAGTGTGATGCTTTGCAATTGTATACAGAAGCAAATTATAACTGAAATGAATAAAAGTTCTGTATAAAATGCAGTATGAAATTACTTCACTAAGCACTTCTAGGTAGATCTGATGACTGACATACACGCCACATTTCACAACTGATCACATATGCAGACTCACAAGAGCCTTTGCGGTGATGCCGGTGGAAAGCACACACTGACACGCTAACACAATTGGCAGGGGATTTCCTCATCAAGCCGTGTCAACTCAGCCCCTCTTTTCATGCTGCTTTTGTTCATTCGGCCTAAAACAATTGTCACACTTTCAGCTCCAGCACTGCCAGTGAGGCACTTACAAGTGAAGCATTATCATCAAGCTGTCGCTAGTTGTTCTACTCTTACTGTCTTTCATCGTTTCTTCATTTCCTTGTCTTGGAGAGGAGGATTAGTTCCAAAACAAATTCGACTTTTACAAAGAGTAATGAGATATGCTCCCAATTGTATGCAAATGAATTGGTCTATAGAACTGAAAGTAAATGCTCATACATAGCCTTACGTTTTAATCTCCGACACTAAAGCCTAACGTTCAATGAATCACATGCTGCAGTGTTTAGTGACAAGGATTAATGTTAGTACTGTTTGTCGTTGTTGCAAAACTCCACACGCAATAGTTAAGCTGCAACAAATTTTCCAGTAGCACATTTGATAATTGAAATAGTCAACAGTGCATTTACCATATTTTCCGCACTATAAGACGCACCTTCAATGAATGGCCTATTTTAAAACTGTTTTTGAATATAGGGTTCACCGCATTATAAGGTGCATCGAATAGAAGCTACAATAGTGGCTGCAGCTGCATTTTGCGTCCACTAGATGGAGCTATGCTAAAGGGAATACGGTAAAATACAATACAGCTTTATTTAAATAGCGCTTTTATATTGCGCTTTCACAACTGCTGCAGCTGTAACAAAATGCTTCACAGAACATTTAAAATACTACGCTGCTGCAGCTGTACAAAGTGCTTTACAGAACATTTAAAACACTACGTCCAAGACATCAGAATATTGATCATGTATAAAGTGCATCGGATTATAAGGAGTACTGTCACCTTTTGAGACAATTGAATGCTTTTAGGTGCACCTTATAGTGCGGAAAATAGGGTACTTTCTACTGCTTCTCTCAAGATAATATAATCGATTTCTTCAATTCTATCTAGCTTTCTTTTTTTGCAAACAAAACACTTTTTCACAGGTTAAGTAAAAATAAAAATAACGATAAAACTATTCAAGACTGATGGTTTTACACTCGTCATCAAGCCAGATTCTTTGTCTTTGTGTGTTAACACTTCTACTCTGGCTGCATTTTTATGACACTCTAGTGTAGGCTCTCTATGAGCCAGCTCATAAGACACAGTGATTATCTAGCTTTCTTTTTTTGCAAACAAAACACTTTTTCACAGGTTAAGTAAAAATAAAAATAACGATAAAACTATTCAAGACTGATGGTTTTACACTCGTCATCAAGCCAGATTCTTTGTCTTTGTGTTACACTTCTACTCTGGCGGCATTTTTATGACACTCTAGTGTAGGCTCTCTATGAGCCAGCTCATAAGACACAGTGATCATAAACTGTGGAAAAATAAATATAGCACATTTGTGACATCATGGCGCAGCTTTCTGAAGATTGTGAAGGCAGGATTTTTGGTTTACCGCTCGTCTTGCGTTTCAGGCACCATAATCATAATATCACGACTTTCATTAACTACATCTGACCGCTGCTTTTTTTTTTTTTTTTTAAAAAACCAACAACTTTTGGTTGTTGAACCAACTTGGGGTTGGGAAATAGACACTTATGCCTCTCCCTCAGGAATGTTGAAAACATTTGACACAGGTGTGACTTTGGTAGAATTTATGTTCTGTAGCTCGATGTGTGTTTGTGCACATGCATCTGATTAGACCTAAAGACCATAAAGGTTAACAATTTATTCCTCTGTTTTTTTATATCCTTTGATTGATTTAAAGTGTCCCTGAGGGCCTAGGAAGGTGTTGACAAAAAATACTATTACCATGAAGCCAGAAAAAATAATCCCCTCATGCATTTTGATGCTGCACATTAGATCCTCAACACCAAACTGGTACACACAGAAAGACACAGACACAACCAAGTAGGGGTATGGTTTGCGATACTGCATCATCACTGGCGTATAAGGGATGTGAGGAAAAAGGACAACTACACCACACCACAATTTATTTGCCTCTAAAAGCTTTCTGGTCATGACATTTTTGGTTACAACTTAATGTGTCAAAGCTGAGCACTTAATCAGGCCTGAGTCAAGCCCCCGTTATTGAAATGATTTTATGCATGTTCCACTGCGTAGTGATTCGTTGCCCCTCAACCCCAGTTTCATCCGCAGACATTTGAAATTTCACTTACTTTGGCTGCATTGAACGGTGCCATAATGAATCGGTGAATATCAGTCAGGGATGCCAGGGCTCAAGTACAGCGAGCTGAAAATCTTGCTGGCGCCAGACAAACACTGGTCACAGCCAAAACAAAGATAGCCCATTGCTCTAGTTCAGTGGTTCTTCACCTTGTTAGAGGCAACGAACCCAACCAGTTCATATGCACATTAACCAAACCCTTCATTAGTGTAAAAAAAGAAGTGATTTTTTTTTTTACAAATTCAAGACATTAAAAAACACATTTGTTAAAAATAGAAAAAAGTCAATAAAATTTCAAGAGAGAAGTTTTTTTTTTTTTTTGTTTTGGTTTTTTTTTTAATTGTACGACATACTATCACATGTTGACAACGAAGCAAACTAAATTTCCCACAGCACTGAATGGACAAGCAATGTTATGTGATCATCTGCAGCCAATGATGACCAAGTGGGCGTGTCATAACTAATTGACATGTTGAGTTGGGTGTGTTTTAACCTCCATGGCAGAGGCTCCATCAAACCCCGAAAACCGATTCACTGAATCCCGAAGGTTCGATCGAACCGAGGTTAAAAACCACTGC